CTGTTTATTTTATGTGATAGCATTGAAATAGCTTAGCATATTTTGATGTTTTTCTGTTTATAGAACAGGCAGCAAAATCCTGAATAGAAATAATGAAGTGGCCAGGAATGGCCAATGTGAACCTTTTGCTTGGTTTTGCATTCTGAAGCATAAAAGAATTGAAAATAATGTACACTAAATCAGCTTGTGCAGAATCAAGACTAGCAATAGATAACAGATAATCACAGTTGGAAGGGACCTTATAGATCATCTAATCCAACCCCCCGCCCAAGCAGGAGACCCTACATCATTTCTGACAAATTGCAGTCCAATCTCTTCTTGAAAGTCTCAAGTGATGACGCTCCCACAACTTCCGAGGTCAAGCTGTTCCATTGGTTAATTGTTCTCACTGTCAGAAAGTTTCTCCTTATTTCCAGGTTAAATCTCTCCTTGTTCAGTTTCCATCCATTATTCCTTGTCTGGCCTACAGGCGCTTTAGAAAATAGCTTGACCACTTCCTCCTGTGGCAGCCCCTCAAATATTGGAAGACCTCTATCATGTCTCCCCTGGTCCTTCTCTTTACTAGACTAGCCAAGCCCAGTTCCTGCAACCGTTCGTTGTATGTTTTAGTCTCCAGTCCCCTAATCATCCTGGTTGCTCTTCTCTGTACTTTTTCTAGAGTCTCAACATCTTTTTTATAATGTGGTGAACAAAACTGAATGCAGTACTCTAGGTGTGGTCTTACTAAGGCTTTATAGAGTGGTATTAGTACTTCCCTTGATCTTGATTGTATCCCTCTGTTAATACAATTTAGGATCGCATTACCTTTTTTTTGGCTGCTGCTGCACACTGCTGACTCATATTTAGCTGGTTGTCCACTAGGACTCCAAGATCCCTCTCACAGTTACTGCTACTGAGCCTGGTTTCACCCAGTCTATATGTGTACTTTTGGTTTTTCTTGCCTAAGTGTAGGACTTTACTTTTCTCTACATTGAATTTCATTTTGTTAGATGTGGCCCAGTGTTCTAGTCTCTCAAGATCCATTTGGATCTTGAGCCTATCTTCTTGGGTGTTAGCTACTCCTGCCGGCTTAGTATATCTACAAATTTGGTTAAGTTCCACTTCTATTCTCTCATCTAAGTCCTTAATGAAGATCTTGAAGAGTACTGGGCCTAAGACGGAACCTTGTGGCACCCCACTGCTTACTTCCCTCCATGGAGACTTAGATCTATTAAGGATTACTTGTTGAGTACGGTTTGCCAGCCAGTTGTGAGTCCATCTAGTGGTGGTGCTATCTATTCCACTTTTTTCTAGCTTACTAAGAGAGAACCAATTTTGGACATTCCCCTCCAGATAAAGATAAATTACACGATGTTATGATGAACCTTCATATTTGTAAATAAACTAATAGTTTTTTTCTCAGTTGCTTTCCTTTAGGTTTTTTTTTTTAAAGAACATTTGAAACAACCAAAAAGTTACCCCACTCACAGTACAGCCCTTAACATTCCCAACTGTAACTACACATTAACACTTCGGTCCTATTTAGGGGTCACATCACTTTTAAGCAAGGGTTCCAGGTTGTTAATGCTATTATTATATACTTGACCTATGTTTAATTTATAGAAGTTATTTAGTCCTAATTTGCAAAAACAAGTGAAAAAGCAGAACAACACAGACGCAGATTAGCTTCAGATTTGGACTGATGGTTTAACAAGCTAGAAATTGTGTGCCACCAGCAAACAGTAATTTATTTTGATTGATTTTATTTGCCACCCATCTCACCACGAGGTGACTTAATGCTGGATTTTCAAATAATGTCATGCTTGGTAAACTGCCATCTCAGTTTTGGATGAAACATTAAGCTAGAACTTACTTAGGCTTTATTATTATTATTATTTATTAAATATGAATTCTTATTATTGCTTAACTTACACTCTTCTATTAGTGAGAGTGAATGGGTTGCATAGACATTTAGCAAAGCATCTTTATTGTGGCTTAACCTCCCTGGCTGAAAAACAGCAGGCACACCCATATTGTGATTGATATATATATATATATATATATATATACTGCTCCACACATTAATTTTTCAATGTTCCTTGACTGATAAATTCAGAGACCATCATTACTAGTAATGAATGAACTTTTGAAATCTGGAATTTTGCAGCAATGCCTCTGGTTATAAGCAATATTCTCTTTATAGCTTTTATTTCACGATTTTTAAAAGAAATACTTTATCCCAGTGGAAACTTTTCTCAGAATAACATGGAAGAAAAATCTCCTACTTCTCATCTTCCTGGATTTTTATATCTTTAGTAAAAGATGCTTAAATCTTTTAAATTGTTTTGGAAACATGCCTGTCCAGTAGTGGAAAGCCTTTGTTATAATAGGCGAAGTGGGAATGAGTTTTAAAGTGTAAACAAATGTTCTAAAATAAGGACTACATTCTGACAGTCACATTCACCCTAGGATAGTTGGGCTGCAGAACTATTATAATATTGGCCAAGAACAATATCATCATTATTGCTATCAACAGCGTGCTTCAGTGTAGAATATTCACCTACGGTGAAAATGAAAACACTGCAAGAATAACGCTGTGCAAATGGGCAAGTTATGAATTAGGTTCAAAGTAGGGACACAGGAATGAATACAAGGTTAGATGGATTGTTTTAATCCTCATGCCTTTAGGCACTTCTTCAAGAATGGCATCAATGTATCTTAGCAATATGCTTTAGAAACCAGGCCCTAGCCTGGCAGGGTCCTCACCAAATGTTTATGTTTAATCATTAAAGTTAAATCATGCTGGCTCTGCAGGAGTTCAAGGCAATATATAGGGCGCTCTCGCCCAAGTTTTCTTTACAAGGTCAATTGAGTCAAATAGGTTGAGATGAGAGATAGTGAATGGCCTCAGTGACCCAGTAAATTTCCATGGCTGAGAATAGATTTCCACAGTCTCACTCCACCAATTTAAATTGGTATATCACATAGCTGGTACTCATGAACTTCCCATCGATGGATAGCCAAACAAAAAAATCTACTGAGTTTAATCTAAGTGGAGTTTCATCTACCCTACGCAGATTAAGTTACATTTAATTACATTAATCTTTAACGAAGGAAATATAACCTTACACGGTCTAACAGGCATTGCACACTCTCATTTTTCATCGCCCTCCTGAAATCAGCTGCATTAATTTCTCACTCAGCTGCCAAGGACTATCCCAAAGGAAGTTGCCCATTTCAAGGGGTGCAACAAGTGAGGCGAGAGGAAAGTCAGCCAGATTGAGAGAAAGGAAGTAGGGAGGTTGTCTTGCCAATGGCGCAGAACAGAAATGCTCACTCTCAAAGCAGAGGAGTTACTGCAAGCTTGTGATGATTCTTGGTCAGGCAGAGCAGAACTTCCTGGGATTAAGAGGAAATGGCTTGACACTCAGACAAGGAAAGCCAAGAGACAGGAGACAATCCTACTCCCATATCAAAAAAAAATCACCAGAGTCAAAGCCAGAAAAAATGCTACCGGTGGGAACCACCACATGGGGAAGAGGAGGAGCAACTTCAGCCTCATTTCTTGGCCATAACCTGTAGCATCTCCTTCATGCAGGATTAGAACAACAGCTACCTATTGACCTGCCCTAAGCATAGACTGATTTGTGTCAGTCTAAAGCTGTAACAAATGTATGGAATGGAGAAGTGGGAAGACCAAGTGGTTGTAATGACCTTGCTCCTTCTTGAGGGCACCTCAAGGTCTTCCTCCTACTTCAGGGCATCTCAAGAGGGAGTATAGAGAGAGAATAACAAGATTTGCAAAGCAGCACATTGAGGCTGGGTCTGGTATGGAAGGAGGCACCTCTCTCTCCCTTTGGTGCTTTCACTTTACAAAGGAGTTCCTGGTACCCGTTCCTCAGAGCCAAAGGCTTAGCTATTCCTAGTCATTCTCCATGCAACAACTGCCCACCACATACTAGCTCCAATGTCAACAGCAAGCCCAAGTATCACTGCACAGCTGTCACTGTGAGCCAGGTGGGCAAAACGTGTGGTGGAATACTGTCTGGATTCCCAAAAGGGTGAGACTACATTTCTGAGGGCAGAGGCAGCCAAGGATGGTCAGGAAAAAGAGAGTTAACAGCTCATCCTTAGCAATTCCCAGAGTGTATTTGTAGTAATGCAATTAGCTGCTTCAGTTTGGCAAGATTTCTGACTATAGGTGAGGAATAAAGGAAACTATTCAGAAATAACCACATGCCTTTCTTGGTTCCTGGAAAATGCTGACAAAAAGGAACAGCAGAGTTTTTATTACAAGGCTTTTTATCAATGTATGGAAAAGTTTTGATATATTGGCCTTCAGTGTAACAAAGAAGTTTTCATGCAGTACTTATGTTGATATAAGTATGAAACTTCTGCCACATTTAACTTTTACTTCTTTCCACAACACATTGGGCTACAATATGTAGTGATCTCAAAACTAAGCATGATTGGATTTTTCTTAGAATATGAATGGGAGACCAAGAGAAAATGCCAAAGCTGGAGAAGAAATTGGAAATTAAAAATAAAATATCCCAGGAGATGGCAACACCAAGCTACTTCCTTATCAACGCTAAGAAAATGACAGGGCTGCAGCCTTGTAGTTACTAGTTGAGCACACTGTAAACCCAAGGTTAACTTTACCCGAATCAACCTGTCTTTCGGAAGTACAAGAGAAACTCCACATGAAGTCAATAAATTAGATGATGTTCTGCCCAGTTCATTGTATAGTTTACTGCACATTGCTTTTTGAGACAGGCAGTGCAATTTTTTTGGCAATTCAACACAAGCTGTACAAAGCTATGTAAAGCTTATAATAGACTATGAGCTAGTGAATATAACTTCAATGCACCATGCAAACAGGAGCCATATTTAAACATTCAAAGAGAAGCAAGATTTTAACTTTTCCAGTATCCGAGGTAAAAAAAACTGTCCTGGCTTTTCATATAGAAATAAAGCTGGTATTATAATGTGATATAAATAATGGGTATTTTCAAAAGGAAAAAAATTGGACAATTATTTCTTTGTTTTTCAACATCTGGTGCGACAGCCCTTGGTAGATATCTTGTTATATAAGTAGAATCTACACTTCTATGGAGCAAGTTTCAGGCAACTCCAAAGAGGAATGAATGACAACCCTGTGTATAAGAAGCCATCTTCTGTCAATCCATCCAAACATCATGTTTCTTATCCACATTAGGATTGGGGAAGAAATCAGTCATGATTCACATCTTTCTCTCTTCATGTTGTCATCAAATGTTTGTACAAAAACCTATGGCATAGGATCCGCCATGTGATGAGCATTTGGATAAAAAGTATCCAGAAATATTTTGGCTTTCATCCGGGGTGTTATTTCCCAGTGACATGGTCTACTGGCACTGTTTCCTTTTTTGCAAATGGAAGTTTAATGTTAGGGGGCGCAGAACCATGAGGAGTAATATTTGGGGTTTTTTGACTTTCAGATGCTTGCAAGAGATGCTGCATACTCAGTTTGAATATAAGGCGTGGATCCTGACCAGGCAAAGATGGGCAGTTGCAACTTTCCCTTATTTTAAGTGCCTGCAAACAGAGAAAAGGTTCATTATGACACAAGCAAAAAAAAAAAAATTAAACCCATTAATCACCAAAATTTACCCCAGAAATCCACAATTCCAATCAAAACCTCAATGTTGCCTCATTTACAGTTCAATATTGTTGGTTTGGACTGAAAACTTCTCTGAAGCATTTTTTTAAAAAAATATAACACTTCTACTTATTTTGCACACTACCAATACTTTTAGAAAAAACAAAAACCAAAGTAACATTTTGATTTGCACATGGTCTTCTCAATATTGCTTCTAAAAATTCACTAGCTGTAGACCCAGTCATTTCCACTTACCAATCAATAACTTCACAGATATTTGCAGTGACAAGAGTTTTCTCTTATTCTCTTGTTGAACATAAGCCACTGCATGACTGCATTAATGTCAAATGGTATTACTCAAGCCAAGCATAATGATTTGGGTTATTTCTTAAAAAGAGGAAACTCAGTTCCTTTCATACTAATGTAGCATTTTTAAAAAAAAAATCTTGCAGTGTTTGGGTTTTTTGTAAAACAGAGTATTGTACCCATCTTTCCCTTTGTTTAGTTTATTTATTTAAATTAGTAGAACATCAGCAACAGAGCCAAAGTCGCAAAAGAGATAGCCCAGCTTAATGTACTATTTTGTCTGTGCAAGTTTGAGGGAGTAAGAGGGGCCTGATTAAATGTACTTCACACTGTTTTATCATCCATTAAATTCAAGATGAAGGCTATAGGCATGAGAGATAGCGGGTTCTCAGCATGGAACCTTCTGAAACTTTAGGTCAGTCAAAATGATATTTGCAACAATTTCCTGTATGAAGATTTATTGCTGGTGCTGAAAATTTAGACTCACTGAGGAAATGTCCTGTGCTGACTCTTTTGTTTTATTTAGTGCCAATAATGTTGTGGACCACAAAGTAGTTTAAGATCTGTTACTGGGTTATAGCTTGACCTATGGTGCATTTCAACAGCAGAAATACCACTGTATAGATATATGGAAACAAAGAATAGTGATATCTGTTGTTGTTTATTTGGAATAAAATTCCATTTAGTCAAATTATGCTTCTTCCATAGTGTATTTTGGATTTCAATCTAAAAATTGCATGTATGTGCATGTGGAAATAGTCTCAGGTCTGGAAAAATATAGTTTTTTCCATATTTACAAATCCCATCTCTGCAATGTTCCAAAAAGAGTAATATTCTGCAGTGCTGCCCCATTTCCACCATTCCCAAACTTGTTCCTGTGTCAGTACAAGGAAATGAAAGAAAAAACACCTTTTTTGAAGTATGGACAGAACATTATGCAATTTGCTTCAACACAGCAGAATAATTAATGATGAAATCTGTCTGCAAATTTGAATTCATACTTACTATTTATATATTCCCAGGGATAAAATAAGAAAATAATGAATATGGCATATGCAAGAGTTTGACACCTTTCCTTCCAAATGCTTCCAACAGCATCAAACCTCATAAGGCATTCCAAATTTAGGAAACAAGGATCACTTGGATTTCGGGATACTGTGGCAGAACCTTGAAAGCCTGCCAAAGCAATTCTTCACATTGATTTATACCTAGTGCCATACAGGCAGAATTAATAGGTAGTCCTTGACTTATGACCACAGTTGGGCCCCAAATTTACACTGCTAAGTAAGGCAGTTGCTAAATGAGTTGTGCATCATTTGATTACCTTTTTGCCCCAGTTTTTAAGGGAATCACTGCAGTTGTTAAGTGGATCATGCGGTTGTTAAGCGAATCTGATTTCCCCAATTGATTGTTGCTTGTCGGAAGCCATCTGGGAAAGCTACAGATAGTGATCACAGGACCTTGGCACCTTGCAATTATCATAAATACATTACCAAGTGCCCAAATTTTGATCATGTGGCCACGAGGATCCTGCAACAGTCGCAAGTATGAAATCTGAACATGATGTTTTTGTCAGTGCCATTGTAATTTCAAAGGTCATTAAATCAATGGGTTGTAAGTCAACGCCTTCCTGTGCTTTAAATCTCTTGGTCAAGCTTAGCCCCTCCCTTTTCTGAGACATCAATATTCTAAAGGCACTAATTTCTCCCCACAAAAACAACCTCTCCAGGAGAAGGAATTCTTTTCAGGATTAAGCAAGGAAAATCCCCTCACACTTACTCCACTCAACTGATTGCTAATTTCATTTTGAAAGCCCACTAATGTTAAAGGGAAAGCTGCATTATCTGCCCCTTAACAACAACTTACCTTCTTCTAGCATTAACTAGTGCTAATTCTCCCCTGTTTGTTGTTCAGCTAACCCCATGTTCTCTCACCAAAGCAAGTAGAAAATATATGAAGCAATAGAGTATTCCTTTATTATTTTGATTTACATGTCTGCCCCAACTCAAAGCCAGTTCTGGGTGGAATACAATTAAAATCAATGTGATAGCTAAAACATCAATAGGAACAACAATAACACCACAAATAGCATGTCATGAGGAAAACACATAGTATAACCATACACACCAAACGAGCATACCAATAATCTATCCTAGAGCTTAGGGGGGAAAGCCAGGTTTAAATGTCTAAAGCAGTGGCCCCCAACCTTTTGGGTACCAGAGACCCGTTCCGTCAAGAGAGGGGACCGGAGGGGACACGGTTTCACATGCTGCCTATACCCCACAGACAGGGCTTTACTTGTTTGTGTGGCCTGGTTTCAGGCATGCCATGAACCAGTCATTGACCAGGTTGGGGACCCCTGGTCTACAGGCTTTCATAGCCAGGGCAATAGCATCTGGAGTAACATGCTATTCTAGAAGACAGGCAACATGACAAAGCAAGCCTGCTTTCTAACGCTCACCAGATACATTAGTTAATGGATTGGATTTGCTATTGGACCTTACAGGGCAGGTAGAAATAATGGGAGAGCTGTAAATTCTGCAATAATTGTTATTCAATTTAGAGCAAACTAGATGATCTGGATCCTTTTCAGTCAGGGTTCAGGTAGAGTTATGGGACTGAGATCACACTCTTAGATGACCTCTGGTGGGAGCAGGATAGGGGAATGAGACCATCCTCATTATTCTTGACCTCTCAGCAGTCTTTGATACCATCATGATATCCTTCCGGACCTGCTTTGGAGGTGGGTGACACTGTGTTGCGCTGATTTTCCTCCTTCTTCTGTGGTCAGTTCCAGGCAGTATTGATGTCTAGAAGGGAAAAAGATCAGACTGCAGCCCCTACTTTTCAGGGGGCCCCAGGGTTCAGTTCTCTTTCCTCTCTAATATCTACATGAGGCTGCTGGATACTGCAGTACAACAGTTCAGGGCGAGGTATCATCCATATTCGGATGATACTTAGTTTTATATTTGTATCACAATATAACTAGCTGTTGGGCCTTTTGTTTGTTTTAAAGCATTGGATTAAGTTATCCAAAGATGACACTGGAAAATAGAAGCCCTATAGAAAACTGATTGCAAATTGGATGCTGGAAGTTGGCAATTGAATGCACATTGGCAATTGGATACTGGAAGTTGCTTCAGCAGAGGAAGCTGAATTGGGAAATGAGAGTTGTCATCTGTGGAGACCCCTGCTATAGAGCAGGGGTTTTCAATCTAGAGTCCACAAATTCCTTTGGATCTATGGATAGATTTCAGGAAGTCCACAAAGTTGGATGGGAAAAATAACTTTATTTTCACTAAATTGTACGTGAAATTTAGCTTTTCATTCAATAATGTATGGAGGCAATGAAGTAATTTATGACCTCTGGACTCCAAAGATATTTGTTAACTTCAATAAATCTCATTATCTAAAATTATTACATTCAAAAAGGGGCACTGTCTTATTGATAAATGGATTAATAAAGAAGCACAATTATTATTACATGACATACTTGTTACTTTTTAGTACCTTGGTAACTATGCTTGAGCTTAATTGGCTTCCTTTGTAATAATCTATACCTCTGTGTGCTATTTTATGCATTTAAATCCATTTTTATGAAAAGGGGTTGTTGAGTTCACCAGACTCTCAAGAGGGTCTATGGTTCAGAACAGTTATGAACTCCTGTTCTAGAGGAAATGGATTATCTGGACCATTTCAAACAGGATTCAGAGCTAGGCACAGGAAAGTAATGCCACTGATTGCTCTAGAAAACGACTTTTGTTGAAACCTCATGGAAGGAGTGTTCTTCCTCCTAGTCTTATCAGACTACTCAACTATCTTTGATAACACTGATCATGGGATTCTTCTGGACAAACTGTAAGGGCTAGAAATTACTGCATTACAGTGGTTTCATTTCTTCCCAAGCAGGCAATACACTACAGTAAAGGAACAGGGGAGGAGAGGTCAGTTCCATAGGTTCTCCCTGTGGGATTTCCCAGAGACTGAGTCCTTCACCTCTGTTGTTTAACATATATATGAAGATGCTGGAAAAAGAGTCATCTATTGGGTTGGAGTAAACAACATTAATATGCTGTTAATATCCATACATACTGGCACTCTGGGCTCAGCCACACAGATGCTGTTATAATTTTGATTTAGTTCCTGGAAGATGTGAGTGTCTGGATAAAACGATAAAGATAATATAAAATAAAATAAACGCAAACTAGACAGAGTTCTTCTATGTTCAGAGATCAACTGGTTCTCCTTCTGCTCAAGAGATAAACCTGGATAGCATAGCACTCACCCTGAACTAGGAGATATAAGATTTAAGGGTCCTCCTGTATTCATGGCTATTTGCTGGGCAGTTGCAGGCTGTGACCAAAGATGTTTATCCAGCTTCAGCTAGTGGACTAAACATATTTATAATATATCCACTGATGATGATTGCAGTTTATTCCTTATACTAAGGACTGCTGCAGTGCACTCTATGCCAACCTACATTTGAAATTCAGAAGGTGCAACTGATATTATCTATCCCATCTAGTAATTAATCAATCCTTGACTATCCCTTCTAATAGTCATGAATATTGTGTATCTTTAGCTGTTACAAGTGCCTTTGCTTTGAATACATGATATGTAAATTTCACCG